TACCACTTTTATGAATTTTTGGAGCAAGACTATAATCTGGCACAATTCGCAACAGATGGGATAAGCGAATGTTTTAAGTTGCTTGAAATGATTTGCGAAGATTTGATCGCAGTTTTTATTTTGGATAAGTCCGAAGGTGAAGGATCTTTAGGGATCGGATTATATGGCCTTCGTTTAAGAGTTTAGTGAACCATCGATGTAAGTGTTTTCTTATCCATGATGACTATCTGGCCGCCTTTGTCGGCCTTTGAAATGATAATATTCGGGTTAGAATGAATTTCGCGCATTGTAGCTCTTCTCTCGCAGTTAGATTTGGTTTCGAAGGTTTATATTGAATTTCACATTATGAGCGATAAGATGCCTAATCATTTCCTTTCGTGAATCTGAAACTTTACTGAACTTGAAGCTTTTTCGATAGGAGCCAAAATCTTTGGATGAGGGTTTACAGGTTTGTGAGCAGTTAAAATTATTTTTAGAATTCTCTCTTGTTCTTCTAACATAGAAATATTAACCATTGGCTGATGTTTACAATGAAGATTTTTTGAAACTACTTGAACTGGAAGACGTAAAGAAGTTTTTCGAATTAATGCAAGGTGTGTTTATGACGATTACGCGTTTCCGTTCTAGACCAAGACTTTGTTCAAGGGCAGTGATTTGGATAGATTTGCGAGTTCCAGATGAAGCTTATAGAGTTCATGTTCAATTTTTTGGACAATTGTTGACGTGTATCCCTTTCACGGACTGGTAAGGCAATTTGCAATTTAACAGAATCTTGAAACGCGACTCGAAGGTTTTTGATTAGATTTGATTTGATAAAATTGGGGGATCAATTTTTTACATTTACATTTAAGTAAAATTCAGATGATACAGGAATTTTGCCGTTTCAGGCGTATTAGTGAACGATAACAAGAGAACAAGAGAGAATTCTAAAATATAATTTAACTTCTCACAAACTGTAAACCCTCTATTCCAAAGATTTTGGCTCCCCGAAAAGCTTTCAGTTCAGTAATTCCAGATCACAAAGAATGATTAGGCATCTTAATCGCTCATAATGTAAATTCATAATAAAACCTTGAAACCAATCTACTGCGAGAGAAGAGCTACATGCGCGAAAATTCATTCTAACCGGATATCATTTCAGCCGACAAGGCGGGCTAGTCGTCATGGATAAACACTTACATCGATGGGTCAAAACTCTTAAACGAAGGACCATATTCCGATCCTAAAGATCCTTCACCTTCGGTTATCCAAAATAAACTGATCAAATCTTCGCAAATCATTTCAAGCAACTTAAAACATTCGCTTATCCATCTGTTGCGATTGTGCCAGATTATTGCCTCTTCCCAAATTCATAAAATGGTATTCCTTCCGCCCTATTGTATCAAATTAGGTAAGGCCTCTATCCTTAGCTAAATATTGGTTTCTATATTTTCCACTCTATTAGACAATAACATTTACACATAAAAAATTCAATAGAGTTTGTAAAAAAGGTTAAAAACATTTCTCTGGTAATTTACTCATGGTTTTTTGATGAAATCATTTTCACCAATGTCCCAGTGGAGGGTGCATTAAGATGTCTAGAAACCAGACTCGCGATTTCATTTCTCTTGCATCGAAATTGAGGAGCTAATTTCTCTCACTCAACTCTGTTTGAACCAAACACATTTGTTTCCAAATAAATATTACAAACAAAACTGAGGGATTGCCATGGGAACCCCCTCAGTCATCCTGGCTGATATCTACATGCATTATTATGAATCAAAATGTTTGAAACTTTAAATTCCCGGCATGGTTCCGCTACGTAGACGATACTTTTACCTGTTTGAAGGAATAAATGATTTAAATAAAGTTCTTTCAACAATGATTCTATTGATCCTGCTATTCAGTTCACTTTTGAACTTGAGACTTGCAATTCTCTCCTTTCTCGACATTCTGGTCACAAGTAACCTCCAACTTCAGTACTACAGTTTACGTAAACCTATCTTTGCCTTCCACCACACTTTAATCAGTCATCGACTAAACAAATTTAGCTTCTTTTATCCTATTTTTCCGTCTCTTCAAGTTTGCTCCTCCAAATAGCCCTTGATGAAGAACTAATATTTAAAAGCAATAGCTTTGACAGGGGCTTTCCCAACATTATTAATCAAGCAGTTAAAAAATTCCATCTGAACACCACTAAACCACACTCTTATTTTAGGAGATTATAAAAATTTGTTGTATTTCCTTTTTCCCTCATTAGCTTAATGTGCACATATTTTGCAGAATTTAACTTTCGGGTGTTTATTCTCCCATCATAAATTCCAACTTCTATACTCAAGGACCCCATTCCGGACATGAATTCCTGGGGTATTTATAGGATTCCTTGCCAGTGTGGTTTAATTTACATTGGCCAAACTAAGAGAGCCTTAAATTTCGCGTCAAGAACATGAGGATATGTTAGAAAAAAAAACAGAAGTCTTCTGTTGCTCAACTTGTTGGTCCGAAAATCACACTTTTTCATTTTCTGGCCAAAATTATTCAAAAAACATCTTCATTGGAGAACTGATTTTTAGAGGCATTTCACATTCATAAAATCTTTCTGTTCTAGTTAAAGATCCTAATTCCAACCAAATTTGCCTTCGGCTTTAGAGAATTATTTTAGTCTGGTTTCGCCACAATGGCGCCACTGCTATTCTTGTCCAGGCTTTCTTATCTTATCTAATCATTATTTCCTATCTTGTTCATTTGCGGTTTTGCAGCTGAAGATGATGGTTCGGTAAAAACCATCGAAACTAGTCCTGTGAAAATTTGTAGTATAAACGCTGATTTTTGTTGTTTGAGTTCGAATTAGATTATTCGGCGTGTTATTTTGTCTTTCTTAATTGGTGTTTGTTCGGCGTGTTATTGTGTCTTAATGTTACATTATGTTACATTAACTGGTATATAATCGACTTTTATTTTTTCCATCTTTTACGATATTTTAACATTAATTTCTAAAAATTTCTTTTAAATTCGAAAATTTTTGTGAAGGTAAACCTCTTTAGCCCAAAGGGCGTTAGCCCAGAAGGGCTGTTAATTTCGTTTTGCCTTTTTGCGTTGATTCAAGGTAAATGTCGGTTCCCTTTTCAAACTGTTGCTACCAAATATTACAAGCCTGTAATTATATTTAAAGAAATTAAATAATGAAGAATCTGCATAAATGTATGTATGTTTCTCGCATTGAAATAAAACAACGGTACGGTAACGGAGCCATCAAATTTTGAATAACGTACCGAGTATAGGGATTTGGAAGCCCAAATTTGGAATTTGTTTTATTATCTATTTCATCTTTTGTAAAACTTTAACGAATTTTTAATTAACAAACTCACCGACTTCAAAGCGAGCAATGGCAACACTATACGGAAAAAAAAAAAAAAAAAAAACCTCCAGCGAGCGAAACTGTGTATCGGAAATTCTATGCTATGCTTATTTAAAAATTATTTGGCTATATTGCTGTTGAATTGAATTTTATGGTTTGAGTACTTATAATTAGTAACTGATAAACTTATAATTAGTAACTGTAAATAAAACTGAAAAACACAAGTGCTCTCAAACTAATGTAAGCCATTGTATTACTGCATTTAAAGTACAATACTATTAACTTTATACATGTGTTTTACCAACCTCATCTAAGGTTCAAGGCTTTAAAAATCATAGCTATCAATAAAACAATAAATATTCACATTAAAAAATATAATTGATACCTGTAACTTCCATTTTCTGATTTAAATGAAAATAAAAAGTTTTAAAAAAGATTTAATGTAGGCAAAATATCTTTGCCCTAAACTACCATTTTAAATTCGGCCAAATGATTTCTTTATGAAAGCGAATGTATTATCGGAATTCGGAAGCGAATGTATTATCATTTAAAAAAAAGTATTAATCAAAATGGCTTTGCAGTTAGTTCGAATAAATGGGTTCGACTGTAGTTGCAAAACTGAAGATTTGAAAACAAGTTATTAAAAAGTGCACTTATTCTTAGCACACTTTCTCGCACATGTTCTCCATTAATTTAATTACAAGTGTGATAGTAACCAAATGAAAATTTTAGGTAAAGCTCAAATTACAGTTTTTCCTTTAATAGAATAACACTCTCTTATTTAATATTTTAATTTAATGGAATAACATCTACTAAATAATACTGCTTGATCTTCATTAGCATGTAAAATTCCTGCTGTAAGCATTTTCTCTATACTGTGTTAATTAATAAAAATAATTATATTGAACAAATAATAATTGTTAATAATAATCATTATTAATGTCATTTAATTATGATCACAAACAAAATGCGAATTTGCTGAAATTTTTGATAAACTCCCAATTATCAACAGATTGATTAACTAAATTTTTTTAAATGAATAATTCATACGAATAATTATTCTGAAGGAATTCTAATCAATCATTTCTGAAGAGGAGGAGGGGAAGATATAAATTTTCAGAAATTATGGATAAATTACTAATTATCAACAGATAATTTTGTTTCTTTAAAATTTTAAATTATATTTGTTGCCAGATGTTGAAAAAGAAATATTTTCAAGAAAAATATAAAGTTCATTTCTGAAAACTACATTTTAATTTAGTTTCCGAGTAGCTGATCGTTTTAAATTATTTGCATTTATTACGACTTTATCTCAGAACTATGTAATTAAAATGAAAGTTCTATATATTTATATTCAAACTGATATCAATACTCTAAAAGCAAACTTAGATTTTATTTAACATTAAGCAAAATATTTTCATGAAATAACGAATTAATGAATTATACAACCTTCTTATTTATAATTATTTATATCGATTTTTTTATATTATAGCCCTTACTTCCTCGATTACAACCGAATTTTCTCGCCACTTAACAAAAAATTAAAATGAGGATAAATGTAAACCGGAAACCAGTCACTCACGTGTTGTTCACATCCTCCACCTTGCAGCACGAGGAAAGTGTCCGAGTGCGCATGCGCTCTTAATGATGCAGATGGCAATGGTTCGCCTGATGAAAGTTCCGCTCTGCATCATTCGCCGCTTGGTATCTTTGCAGTGAAGTGTGGGATTCTCTGTGTTCACTTTCAGTGACAGTATGTTACAGTGATTTTCTAATGGCGTGAAGACAGTCAATCATGCCCGCAGTTTTGCTGGACAGGTTACCGCTTCCTAGCCTACAGGCATACACAGTAGGCAGTGTGCTGTTGCTTGCCTGTTCTGTGCATTATGCTGTTCAAGTTACTTCACAAATGGGATTAAATTTCAATGGAACTGAAGTTGGAAGCGATAATGGTTTTACATTTAAAAATTCCACACCTGGAATACGACCCGATATTTCGTTTGGGGATGTCATATTCGAACGTGTATTTTTTAGGAGATCGATTGAAGTACTATATTTCATGCTTCAGGAACCAATGTGCATATGGGTATGTTTCAATATTTATTTTAATTATTTTCATATTTTAAAGGAAAATCATGCTTTAAAATTTATCTTAAATTTTCCAATATTATTAATTACTTTTTATGAAATCAGTATAACTCCATTTAGTTCGTCGTTAAATTTTGTTCCTAATCATAACAGTTGTTTTGTGTATATTAAAATGGAAGCTCAAGATGATCGATTCGATTATGTGAAAAATGAAACCGGTTGTTAATATGTTAGTATTAATATTTCGTAATATTTAAAAAATATCTGTATAAGCAACTGAATTTTTTTTTTTTTTTTTTTTTTTTTTAAGTTAGATATCTAATGGTGGTGGTGGAACTGACCTTTTAACTGTGCTTCAGAATTAATAGATTTTAAAACTTATGTAATTTTCAACAAAATTAGAAGTGTTAGGGATTGCAAAATGCATTTCTGTTCCATATGTTTTTATGCCAGTCTCTGTTCAGTGGTATTATTTGGAATAGATTTTTTTTTTTAAATGACAAACATTAAAGATATTAATTAGTAGAGGGCAATTTCTAGTAATAAAATTAGTATTAAAAAAGCATGATGTGAAAAACGGGCATGGTGGAATCAACTTTAAAATGTTTTCCTTGGTTATCTTAAAACATATTTATGTTTTATATATTCTTAAAATCTTTGTCTGATAATAATAATGTATTTATTAGCATATCTTTTTATTGACTGCTTGTGGTAAAGCCACAAGGCTAGAGATTTTTTTAATAAAGCCAGAAGTTTTTTTTTAATAATGTACATTATAGTTTATTTTTCCCTCATTCCAAACAAGTAAATTATTTTCAGTTTGAAATAAAGTTTTCTTCTCATATTTATTAGCACAGTGATGCAAGGTAAGCAAAATTTCAGTATTCAAGTAGTTGCATGAGCTGTTATGTAGTTTTTCCACATTTAATGATAAGAATCAAGTAAATCTTTTAGTTCTGATTTTTTTTTTTTTTTCCATGTAAACTTTGTGATCTAGATATATCTATTATTATTAATTATTGGAGTTTGTATTAAATGTTTAAGATTAATAATATTTTTAGCATTATCATATTTTAAGAGTAATATTTTAGTATTTAATTTGAAAGCCTATTGGAGTGGATTTTATAGATGGTAAGAATGTAGGGAAATGGTATTTGAGTATTAAAGCTGATCGTATTTTGTTATCTGACAGCACAGTGACACATTAAGGAAAAAAAAAACAATCTAGAAGTAGTTAAATATCTCCAAAAGTTAACTGAAATTATATTATATTAACTAAATTAAGATAAACTTTTAATATCAGCATATTGTTTTATGTATCTTATGCTGTAAATTATGAAAGTAGAATAATTCATCAGTATATGAAAAGAAATTATTAAAGAATGTTCAATTTAAATTTACTTCCTGAACAAATTGTTTTTAATGGTAGTTTATTCGTGCTTACAGCATTTACTGATGCTTTTAAGTTCATGTTCGTAACAAGAAGTGTAATGAAATTTTATGATTTTTTAAATTTTCTAAACTTTTGGTTTTTATTCATTGACTGACATTGTGAAGTAGACTAAAACAAATATGTGATTTTATCATAGATTTAATATTTTTTTAATAAATAAAAGTAATTAAATAAAATCAATACCTAAATTTAAACTCATTAAGATCTTAAATAAATAATTTAATACAGTGTAATCAAATTGACAGTGTAAAATATTTAGAAGTTTCTTGTAAAGAAATTAATCTTTGTGTATTCCATTTCAGTATTCTGTAATTTTTGTTCTTTAATGCAATTATTATTAATTAAATTTGGAAATTGTTTCTGTGTATGAAATTGACAACTTTATTTTTATTTTTTATTTTGTATCAGCTCTGAGTTTCCATTTTAATCAAAAAACTTTAAACTGTTATAAGACAATGAATTTTATTTCCTTATTTTGTAATTATTCTGAAGGGCAGGTGATTTATTTTTTATTTATATTCCCTGAACAAAGTAAATACATAAAATATGCATTAGGATTAATTACACTTATTTATATTGTTACCTAATTTGTGTTACATGAAACATTATTTGTATACACAATATGTGTTACGTGCTACAAAATTGAAAAAAAAGTCAATATTTACCCATAGATAGTGAAATGATTAAAATCACAAAATTTTGATCAGTGTAGGACCAAGTGAAACATTTGAGAATCCAATAAAACCAAGTGAATCATCTGAAAAATTACTATCCAGATTTCAGGTGATTTTGAACTGCTAGGTAGATAGTCATCTTAGAGAACATCAGTTAGGTGTGATTAGTATCATTATATATGTTCTCTGAAGTATTAGGTGGGATTAGTATCATTATATATGTTCTCTGAAGTATTTGTATTTCAGAAGTCTTTCTTGAAATGAAGCTTATCACCAAGGGAAGATAAATGTCTAGTTAGTTTTAATTTTCCGGGAAATGCACATAAGAAATAAGCTGAGTTTTTTGCCATTTTATTAAAAATAACATTTGTTTTCAATCGACAGTACAATTATTTTAATTTTACAGTGATATTGTATCTACCTTATACATATTTTGTATGTTATGCTATAATTTTTAATGTACGTACTTCAGCTATGCATGAAAAGCAAACTGTATGCTAGTTTTGAATTAGTTAATTTTGTAACCACTAATTAATATTTTTATGTTGAATAATATTTGAGTGTTACTATGAAAGACAGAAATGTATGTAGTAAAGAAATGCAATCAGGATAAATGCATTAGAGAAAAAGCAATATAAATTTTAATATTTAGCTGTGCCTTTCTATGTATAACCCTTCATTTAATCATAAAGGATACTTTTCTATTATCAGGACCAGATTCGGGAATACATGTATATACATGTTTGTACACACATGTAACATGCATATATATATACATTCCTGAATTTGGTTCCATAAGAGAAAAGTACCTGAAAAAGTGTACAAATGAAAAATGAGAAGAAATGTGTGAATTAATTTTCATTGAAAGGGTTGAAGATGTAATTGTAGATTCCTTTTATTATCACTTAAGCAACAAACTATTAAAATATTAATATTATAATTAGCATACTTAAAAAGTTAAGTTTATTTTTATACTTATTAATATATATGTTCCTGTTAGGACTATTTTGTTAATAAATCAGTATGAATACTTTTAATAACTTTAATATTTTTAAGAAGTGTACTAGATAAGCAAAATATTTACAGATATTTATTTGTGAAAACATTTTATATTTTTCTTAGCATTTGATTGTGCCAATTGAAGAAATAAAAACTGGAAATTTGATCTCAAATAAGGTGGAAGTAGCAGAATATTGAGATACAATTGGTCTTAATTGTTACATAGCTGTTACATTTTTAAAGCGATAATAAAGCTATGCACTCAAAAAAAAATCTCCATTTATGAAAAATATGAATAAATATTTTGGACATTGATCTGAACAACATAATGAAGCATTAGAAATAAAGATTGATAACATATTAATTAATAATGCATATAATATAATTAATTAACAATTATATAATACACATAGTGATGGATTAGAAATAAAGATTACAAAAATTTCACGAAAATACATGATAATTTTCTGAATCTTTAAACCCGTAAAAAGAACATATATGAAATACCTGATCCGAAAAAGTTTATAGCCTTTCCAAATATGAACATTTCCACATATAAAATAATCAAATATCAAACTTTTACCTCTAAATCATCTAGATATTATACACGTCACCCAACGAATTCATACCGCAAGCATTACAAATACTTAGTGTCAAATATTTAAATTATTTCCATGCAGGTTTAACTCAATTAAACTTATACCAAATTCCTACAAACATAAATTCACAAATCTATCATTTAATTAAAATATCACTAAACCATGTACACGTCGACTTATTTTACTTAAAAAAACATCCCAGAATTGCACAAAAAATGGCATGCGCACACTCTTACTACATCCATGTACACTGCTTTTCTCATAAATTAGAAAAATTTAAGAAAATACATGACAATTTTCTCAATCTTTAAACCCGGTAAAAAGAACATATATGCAATACCCATCGCGAAAAAGTATTTACCCTTTCCAAATAAAATTTCCACATATAAAATAAATAAATATCCAAAAACGTTTACCTCTAATCATCTTTATATTTAAACGTCATCAACGAATTCATACCGCAACCATTACAAATACTTAGTGTCAGATATTAATTATTTCCATGACGTTTACTTCAACTGAAATACCAAATTCCTACAAACATACACAATATTCCACAAAATAAAAATAAATTAAAGCCCATTTAATTATAAAAATTAATTCCCTAATTACTTTACCTAAATATAATTTCCCAATTACAATCCTTTACTTTACCTCATTGGTAATAAATACAAATAATTCCAAAGTAGACTTCAAATACATTTAGAACAATTAAAAATAATATCCTCTAATTAAAAATACTAACTTTCAAGAATCTGATTACGTGTCCGATAAACTTTCTTTAGTTACGGCCATGGGATCCAAAAATTCACGAACTGTTTCAACAACACAGAATAAAGCGAAATAAGAATTTCCAGATTTTTCCCGATTTCCCCCCTTTCGATTAAAGAACCGTAATTGGCCATTAATATCACTGACATATCCCATGATCTCTCATTCCCTCACACAAAATAATGCGTAATCGGAACGAGTACGCTCACATTTATTACAAAGTCCCAGGTAGTAACCTTTATCGCCTCCAAAATGTCGCCAACTACCAGTACCATATTGTAAAGATCAACCAAGTAAGTTAAATAGGCTTCTTTTTTTTTTTTTTTATTATTATTATTAAAAAATGCCGGTGCCTTCGTACACTGGGGAAAGAGTGAAAGTATAGTCTCATTAGGTGACGGGGTCACGATTCAGGTTCCTGGCCATCGCCGTTTTTTGAAGTTTGTGCATATGTTTGGATATGCATAACATAATTCTTTGGCATTGTAGCTGGCAATTCATA